AAATTTTTTTTTTTTTTTTTTTTTTTTTTTTTTTTGTACCAGGGATCGAACTCAGAACCTTGTGCTTTTGAGGTAGGAGCAGCAGCACTGAGCTAAATCCCTGGCCTGCACAAAATTAAGAGTTTTGTGAGGCAGCTAAATTGAAGAGTATGAGATTATTGAAACCAATGAAAGAGAGTTACAAATAGAAAAAAAAAAGCCAGATATTGCCAAGTGGTTAAGATAAGGACTAAAAGTATCTTTTGTGTTTGAAATTTGCTTATCATTATTGACTTCCAAAAAAAGTAGCTTTAATGGAGTATTCAATATAGAAGCCAGTTATCTACAAATTGAAGAGTAATTAAGAGGTAAATAAACAGCAACTTGGACAATAGAATAGTTCTTGAAGAAACTCGAGTAAGAAAGATGGTAATGAAGCTGAAGCAGGAGGATCTCAAGTTCAAGCCAGGCCTGGGTGATTTAGTGAGATACTGTTTTAAAATTTTAAAAATTTAACAGGCTGGTAGTAGCTCAGTGCAAAAGCTATGGGTTCAAACAATACACATACAAGAGAGAGAGAGAGAGAGAGAGAGAGAGAGAGAGAGGGTGGGAGGGAGAGGGAGGGATGGAGAAGGAGAGGGACAGAGACAGAGAGTGAGAGAATGTAGTTGAGAAGAGGAGAAGGTCATTTAAAGATTCTGATTTTTATGTTTTTGAAAAATGGTAAATTCTTGAGCCTGTGTGGCTAAGTGAGAGGCGCAGATAGAAATGTTATTGAGCAGACGTCCAAAGGAAGTGGAAGAGTTAGAATTTAAAGTTGTCTACAAAAGCGTCATCTTCAATAAAGCATAGGCGGATTGTGATTACAGACTGGGACGAAGCGGATAAGATTGGTTTTGAATATAAATATATCTGACCCTATGAAATGCAGATGAATGCGAGCTTCCGAATATGAGATCAGGAGGCTCTGACAGGAGTGAGAAGAGCTGGAACAGCCACTGAAGAGAAGGGGAGAGAAAACTGAGTACAGATGAGAAAAAGGCCCAAGTCAAGTAATCCTGAGCACTCAGCTGGGGTATATGTCATACATTTGTATGGATCCTTCTATCTTGCTCTTTATTTATATTTTGGATTTCTCATGTAAGAGAAACCAGTAGGAAATATTGAGATAGATCTTTTGCAAAAGGAAAGGGCACAAGGGATGGAGAGAGAGGGACAGGGGAGGGATAGGGGATGAAAAACAGAATCGAGATGTGTTATGCACATGTAACAACTCGACCCAAGAAATGTAATCATAATGCAAAGATGTACCAATGCAACTTTTAAAATTGTATGGGCTCTTTTTTGTGTAACCATGTCATTTAATACATTTGACTTTTTTTTTATAGCATCACAAAAGATTCATAATGACTCAGTGTTACAAATTACCAGAGCAAAAACAGTGGAGCGCAAAGATATTGAGGGTACTAGCAGAAGAATTGTTGGAATCATGAGTGATAGTCTAAGCTAAATAGGCCAGAAAATAAAATTGAAGGAGATGTATGCTGAGAAAAAAAGAAAGATCAAGAAATCATAAACTTAAGGTGGTCAGACAGTAAACTGAATAGAAAGAGGGAAAATTCAAGAGCTGAAAGGCTAAGTGATAAAAAACAAACAGCGGTATATATGCACCCGTGTTTATAGCGGCACAGTTTGAAATAGCTAAAACCCGGAAACAGCCCAATTTCCCATCAGTAGTTTCTCATTCTTTATGTCTGAGTAGTACTATGGA